TGCCAGGACGGGTGAAGCAGTGGTGATGGAGAACAGCTCCACCATGGGCTGAGTCACCCTTCCCTGCACAGACACCCAGGCATTCATCTACCTGCTTTGATCTTCTCAGGGCCATCCACTGCTACCTCCTCGTCTATGCTGTCCCCTTAACACTGGGAGTCAGTTCTCACTGCGGAAAAAAAAAAACCCACAACCCCAAAACAACCAAAAATTGTCACAGAAATTCAAGTTTCTGCCAGCAACCTTTAAAGCCTGGGTCTGAGGCTTTGCACACAAGAGGGTAAAGAAAGACATGTTGCTCTTACTCACATCAGAGTGAGTATTTTGAGCTGACATGAAAGTTGCTTGGAGATGACTGCAAAACACCACAAAAACCAAACTGTCTGGAAGCCTTTTCAAATCTCAGCTAATGTTTGCACAGGACAAGATATGCTTTGAAAGCCTTAGTCCCAAAAGGAAAATCTGGTGCAGCAGTTGGAGATGAGGAGGCTTTGCTAACCTGTTAAATCCTTGCTGCGAACAGCACGTGTTGGGTGCACTGCTCGTTTGGGTTAGAGGATGGTGACTCTATCAAGTCATTAATCGCTGTGGGACTGCACTGTGTCAGGTACCCACATTCCAACTAAGATGCACCAGGAACGGCACAATTTTTTGAGTTCAGTCTGCAAAAGGAATAGGATTTTAAAAACTGGCAAAGTGCACAAGAAAAAGGTGGGATTTAGAAAATTTTTGTACTTGTATCTATTCAAATGTGACTGAAGTCTGGATATTGTCATTTTTCATTTCTAGCACAGATGTGAAGTGAGGTTGAAATTTTCTCCTTGCCCTTCTTAGGATGATCACAAACCAACACACCTGGAAGTGATGCTCCCAGGACAGTCACAGCAAGGGGATGGCACACCGCGAAGGAGGAAAAGGCAGATTTAAAAGGTGGGGCTCAGCCTTCTTTTCGTGCAGAAAATGGATCTATTATTCTGTATCACCACTCCACCCAAGCCGTGTTGAAAATCCCTGTTGTCCTGCTTGCCGAGGAAGACTGGAACAGCAGCCAACTTCATGGCAGCAAAAAAACCCACAAGACCAAGCCAGCAATGGCTACAGCACCCTACTGGTATCCTACTAAGTTGTATTTTGAAAATCATGCTAGTCAGTCAGTCAATCAATCAGAGGAAGAAATAGAGCTTTAAGAGAGGAAGACTAGGGACTGACCCACCTCTGCAATATTTTCATTTACCGCAGTTCAGGAGAGCTAGTCCAGTGCTACAGGAGCCACCTTGGTCTGTCTCGAGCACCGTGGTGGGTAGTCTGACCTTGACATCTGGTCCTGGGAGAACCCAGAAGCCCATAGTGTCGGGACTCAGTCAGATTCCCACTGAGGTGCCTGATCAAACAGAAAGCGATGAAAGCCACGCATCTGACTTGGGATTCTCCTCTTCACATGAGACAGAGAGATCTTGGGCTTTCTCTTTCAGCTGACACTTGCTGTCAGCAAACACAGACATAATTGTGCCTTCTTGTACCGGGAGAAGAAATATACCTTTTGAAACGTCTATGATGAAATCCTGGTTTTTTTCATGTCAATGGCAAAGCTCCAAATGATTACCCACAGAGTCAAAATAGCATCCAAGATGAACTTCTCCAGCAAGAATGAATGGCTAGGAGAGCTATGTGTGCCCTGCAGCGATTAGATGACAGCGAAAAGTCTCTATGGCAAATTCAAGTGCCTTTGGAGAGGAGCAGCCTGTCTCGGGGATGTTGCTGTTAGTGCTCTGCTAATGGTGCGTGGTGGTCTTTGCTCTAACAAGCACTCAGTAAAGCCATTTTGAGAAGAGGAACAAGAAAAACACGGTACCAGAGAATTACCTAAAATTTAGATCAGCTCTGCAGCTAGTCTGCAGAGGCGTCATTCTTCAGTGTGAAAGCACCAAGCAAATGATAAAGGCTGCGATAATTATCCATGTCAGGCTGCATCCCGCCACCAGCTTGGAGAACCTTTTCTCTCTTTCTGCCTGAGAGCAAAGAACAGCACATGTATGGTAAACACAAGTGAAAGAAAAAGAGAATTTATGCAACCTGAAATAATTCCCTGACATCTGGAAATTTCAGGTTTGTCAGCTGTCAAAAATTGCCGCTGTGTTTCTGTATCCCAGACAGTGCAGCTCTGCTCCCTCAGCCCTGAACTTGCAGAAGTTTTCAGCACACCCATCACTCATTAATGAATTCATCCTCGGCTCCTTTTCAAGCAATTTGATTGCTATTTAGTCAAACGTGGTCAATACTGGGGGGATGGCAAATATTGGGGGATTTCTGTCTGTCAGTGCATTCATGAGGAAGAAGTTTACAGGCATTTTCAGAAAGATTTTTTTTTTTTTTTTTTTGCTGTGACACTTAAGATGATCTCCAGCTCTCAGGACCTTCAAATTCAGAGCTCTAAACACTTTTTTCCAATCAGTTTGGGACCAAGATTGGTGGGTGTGGGGTTTTTTTAGCCAGTGTGTGTGCACCAATTTTTCATTCTACTTTAAAGAATCTTTTAATCCTGAAGAAATAAGAATGTTTCTGTATGAGCAACAGGTTCAAATACACACTCAGTAAGCAGAAATCTTTAAAAGCAGAATAATTTTATCACAGAAGCCGAGCCACTTAAGTGGAGCGATGCTGATACAGGACTCATTCAAGTGCAGCGCCCGTCACCCCTCAGACACCAGTGCAGGGGGTGCTGCACCTTCCCAAACCCTTTTCAGAACAATTGTGGAACAAGCTTAGAGAATTAGTTTGCTCCAAAGCTCCTGCTTTCTTTCAAGACAGCCGTTCTCCTCTTCTGTGTAGTATTCCAGTGATTAAAGCATTGGCTTGGGATGGGGCGATGGAGTGGGGGTCCCCAGACTCAGGTGTCCCTTTCCCTCTGCCCAAAAGAGGGGGAATCATCTGTACGTTACTGTGGGCAGCGATGCTCACCCATTGCTGCGGCAGCTCTGCATCTGGCGGAGAGAATTCAGGACTCTCTGGGCAGAGAATAAAAGAGCGCAGAAGGAAGAGCAGAGCTGTAGTCCCCTCCAGGTGTTCACACTCTGCTCCGAATGTTTCATTTAGTATAATCTAATCCATGTCATTTTAAGATTTTCTTTTGGTTGAAGGTTTTGGGGTTTTTTCCATTTCCAGTTCCTTCTACTGAGCTGGGTGTTTGCAAACTCTGCCTCAGGTCTGTTTATAGCAAGAAAATCTTCCTGTATAAAACTGCGGTCTCTGTTCTGTATCCCTAAAACATTAACTCTGAGCCAGGCATTTCGACAGTCATAGAGCCAAGGCTGCCCCCAAACTCTTCGCCGCCGGCAGACGAGCTGTCCCAGCAGCGTGGGGACCGACGGGGACAGGTGGCAGGAGCAAGAGCTCACAACGTGCCAGGGGTCTGCAAGAGGGTGGCACAGGCAGGACAAGGCGGGGGGTTCCCTTCTGCGCACCCCACACAGGAGGTTCCTCATCCCCTGCGGGTGTCAGAGATCGGGGGGTGAAAGGGAGGGGGGAAAACAGTATTTTTCCTTCATGTCCCCTTCTCTACACATCTCCCTGTGTTTAATTAAGAGGCTGGGGAATCAAACTCCAACATTTTAGATAACAAGGCCACATCCAGAGCGCAGTGCCTAACATCTGCTTTACTGGTAATTGGCTCAAAGTGGCAATTTGTCAACGTTTTTAAGATAATGAGCTTCCTATTTGTGTTCCGGCCATCTAAACTTCCAGACAAGGAACCGCGCTGTAGCTGTGGCACGTCAGCTTCTCTCTGGATACAACGCTGCACGTGCCCCTCTCTCCCACAACAAAGGAGAGCTGCCCTCAGCGGCGAAGTTAATCGAGCATCTTTTGAAGTCTGGCTGGGTACAGACTCTTTGGATGAAAGATGCTATTTAAATATCAGTTGTCATGATGATGAGAAGGATTATGGTTATTTTGGCCATATTAGTAATACTAAGTAATAGTAAAGGTATTGAAAGCTGAGGCACAGAACTCAAATGAAAGCTCTAAATATTGCTTATTAGAAAAGCCGGTAAAAATGTTTTCTTCTAAGCATTTATCTTGTGAAAAATTCCTGCTATTCTGTACGGGAAGTTCTGCCCTTTACCCTGAAAAACTGCAGACAACAGTAAAACAGAGTTGTTTGCCATAAATTATTTAGGATTTTGACTTCACTTTAACAAAGAAAAGGGGGGTTTTTTGGCAAGAAAAGTTTGAAGGAAAATAAAAGTTTTTAGGATCTCTCACAAAGTTTTTGCACCCTTTTCACCAGCTTTATTTACCTCCTTCACTAGTGGAGATGTGCAAATGGATGCCTTAGAAAAATAGCCAATAAAATTTAGGGGGGGTTTGCTCTTTCTCCATATAATCTCGTACTATACGTCACAATGTGTCATTTAGTAATATCGGTTTTCATCCACTTGTACAGCTGCTAGCAGCAGGAAGAGCAGTTCAGATAGCGTTTGAAAGATATGTCAAATATTTTTTTCACAAGAGAGAGAAAGCCAGATAATTTAGTGTTTCAGTCCCTGGGAAGTCGGGGCTCAGCAGAACACATCAAGCCTTCCCTGCAGCCCCTGGCAGTGACATCGTAACTGTGAGCAACGTCCCTGCTAACCCAATGTCCCGTGCACGATGCACCTCCGCCTGCGACAGCTGCAGGTCTTTCCTTTGGATACGTCTCTAAGGTGTCTTGTCTTTACTTCAAAGAAAAAACTGTGCCATGTCTGATCAGTAATGCAACAGGGCTGTGCCGCAAAGCGGCTGAGAACCTGGCTTGCTCTATCAATATAAATCTCATTCCTTTCAAAGTTTTTCTACGCTGACGAGGATTCAGGGGCCTCTCTCCAAAATCAGCTACCGAGAGAGATTTATTGCTCTACGGTTCCCAGCAGGTTCATATTTGCCCTTTGGCTACTGCTGATGAGCAACAACGCTGAAGAAATTTAAAGAAACTACAATTATTCTCTATGCTCTTCTGTTCATACCTGTCCAGAGAGATACAGCACAGGTGCAGGATTGACGCTGTGGTGAGCAGGACATCGAGGGACGTTCGGACCAGGCAGAACATCTCTCCATAGATCCAGTTGTCCTGAACCAGCTCGATGGCTCCAAACGGCATCACCAGGACTGACACCAGCAGGTCCGCAAAGGCAAGGGAAACAATGAAATAATTGGTCTTGATTTTCCTGCAAGACAGATCACAGAATTAGGGTGGAATAGTTTTGGTGCAGCATCCTCTACATAGAGACAGAGATTTCAGCTTGTGATTGGGTCTAATTTGCTCCATCACACTGAAAGGTCCTCTCTTACATACTCCTCACTTCACAGGGTCACCTCTAGCTCGATACTGGTTTCTGTGGCCACATATCCACTGTGTTCTCTCCATGAACGCATCTTTCTGCTCACCCGGACGAGGCAAAGGGATGCTCACAGGCCTCTGCGTGCGGCTCAGCCTCACAGCTTGCGTTGGAGAGTTTGGGGTGGAGGAGGGGGATTTTGTTTTAACTTGTAAATTGAGAAAATCCTTCCAGAAAGCACTGAGAAGAATCTAGACTGAAGCTGTAATTTTAACTTGAAGAGTACTTTTTAAATCATAACAATAAAATAGAATTAACTCCATTAAAAATCCCACGCAGAATATGAATAGAGGCTGTTGAATTTCTCACTCTGCTCCTGAGGCTGGGCTGACAACTCCCAGGGGCAGCAGCAAGCCTCGAGACAGGAGTTTTGCCTGTGACCCCCCCAAATCACTAGCAGCACTTGCCAAGCTGCCGCAGCACAACTGAGCCGCACGGTTTTCTGAAGGGGTTATCAGGAAATTTGAGATGGAAAAGGGGTAGAGGCCAACCTGCTTCTCCCAGGAATTACTGCTTAGCTATTTTTCATTGATTTATCTGTTTTTTTGACACTGAGAGTGCTAAAAACGTAGAGGATGGATACTAAAACGATCCCACCGCCACGGTGTGAATCCGAGCGGGGATGCACAAAGGCCAGCGTGAGAGTCTGATGCACAGAGGCCAGCGTGAGAGTCTGACATCGCCGTGGTGCAATGCATGGCCAGAGACCCCCTTCGCCGCGGCAGTTGATGCCCTCAGCTGTAGGCACGGGGCTTTTCAGGCAGGGATTTCCCCCGTGCCTCCCGGCGGAAGGGCA